GTCCAGCAAGTTCCATGGGGGTGATAAATGGATAGAATGATACAAAACCACATATCTCCATCGATGCCTTGGTGTCCTAGACAAGAGCTATCCTAGTCCAGCTGCCCAGCTACTATTGTAGGGTGCCTTTCCGAGCACAAAGTTGAAAACAGACTATACACAAATTGTCCTTTCTGGTTGACTCTGTACAGTGGTTCATTATCCGCTTGGAAGGGGAAAAAATTGAATTTTAAAGAAAAAAGCCAATGCGGGTATTTAGAAAACGTGTAAGGCAGATCAAAGTAATCAAGGGGAAGATGGTGTATCTAAGAAACACAAGCAAATGAAAGAAGACGAAGCTAGCAGCGTTGGAAATCGCAAAATAAAAACAAAGGAAGAGAGGAGGGCGGGGACGGGGAAGAGGAGTAAGCAGAACGGATATAAGGTATAAAATTTGAACGTAACGGCGTGCTAGATCTCATTCGACCTTAAACACCGATAACATCATTTCCAAAATCAGGAACCGGAGAATATAACCGCAACGACGATTGAAAAACGGAGAATCAAACTCTTCCTCAATCATCGCTTGAACATGGCTATAGCCTCCTCTTTCCGCCACTCCAATTCCATCTGCCCCTCATAAACCAGATCAATTATATGTCTCATGCGATCATGTAATTCTGAATACTGCGTCTCGCATTCTTTCAACACCTTTGCCACTAAACTGCGTGAAACGCCTGAATCATCTACATCTCCAAAATGTTTTTCAATACGCTTTTTCAGAGCATCGATACCGCGTCGCAGTTCCTTCGCATCGTACGAGGTGAGAAGTTTCTTCGCAAAAATCCGTGAATGGCTGGCACGGAGGGCAATATCGGTCGGCGTCGCAGCTGTCTGGAGGAGGGATTCCGTAGACTCGATAAAGTCAAGCATTTTACCAAGGGGCCGGCGGATCACGGCATCTATATACAACCGCAAGTGTTCGTGCAGATCATGCGCAGCTCGATCTTTCCACTCAGCGAGAATCATGTTATCGCGACAGTCAACTTCTTCAATGTAGTTGTTCATATTCTCAATCAAGAGAATATGATAATTCAGTGCTTCTTTGTCTTCTGGGTCTTGACCACCTCCGGACGCAACATGTTGCTGGCCAGGTCCCTCTTTGGCAATAAACTTCAAACTATCCCACATGGCACGGTTGATTCTTTCATAAGCATCGTTCACACAGGAACGTATATTAAAGCTCTCTTGTGAGGCTAATGAGAGCATACTTTCGATCGACGCAGAGAAATTTGGGAAAATTCTCATGAATGAGATAACTCCTTTCCGCTTGTTCACCATGACTTTTGTTTCTTCAATGGCCCGGATTTGTTCGTCGACGAACTGATTGAAAAGACCCATTAAACGAGAATGAATTTTCTGGAGACTGTGAGCAATGAACTCCTGGCTGGTTTCATCAAAGGTTGACAATTTCCTCTCCAGAGCCAATAGGATGCCAACTCCTTGCCTATTTAACTTGTCAGCTCAATGGATGTTTTTTGGAGTTTCGGTCGCGTAAACTTACAATGGGTCTGTTCTAATGGACCACTCCGCTAGATTCTGTATATCAGTGATCCAAGAAGAAAATATTTCTTCCATAATCTGCTCCACATTCTTGGGCCATCTCGCGATCTGGGTCATAAAACTCGTTGATGTTCAGTGGGTATCTTCGTCGCTGGCCCGAGCAGTTAAAATCAAATCCTGGAATTCAATGCTTGAGAGTGACGTCATATGAAAGAATTTCACCACAAAATTTTGCTCCGCAGCAATTAGTTTCGTTGTATCTTCTAATGAACCGCCGAAAACTTCATAGGCCTCAATCTTTCCATCAGATTTGTCCGTTACGGGCATTCGCGAGGTACCCGCGACACGAACCGTTTTGCCTCGCCTCACGGTCAGCTTCCGGGCAGCGGTGGTGATACCGTCTCCATCACGTTCCTTGTCTTGATGTGTGAATAGCAGCTCTTGATCGTCACCTGAAGGCTTCCGCCCTTCGCGTTTCCAGGCCATAATATTATCCCTGAACTCGTTCTGATATGTTTTCTTCATCTGTTGTTCATATTGCGTGGTAATGGCAGTCCAATCCGCCGTGCTGACCTCACGAGCGAAAAGCATGAAAGCGTTATACATCCAAAGTTCTTGTCGGGCAGTATCATGAGCACCCAAGAAAATTTTTCCTGATTTAGAGCTTGAAATTAAATCCATCGCTTTTTGCTCCGCAATTTTGAAAGAAAGGCCCATGTACTGCTTTAAACGTTGGAGGAAAAGCTGGGCTTCGTCACGGTATTCCCCCTTTTTCTCCTTCACCGCGCGCATCTGGCCAACTTCCGCATCTGCGTAGATGCCAATTGCACCGCGGTCACCAGCAGCATCAGCTAGTCGCCTCTTATTTATTCTAATGTCAGGATCAATCATCACCATTGCTTTGTATAGGATGGCAAGGGAAGACTCGGCTTCTTCGACACCGTCTGTGCTGCTAAGAGATGCTTCTCGGAGAGGTCGGAGGTCAACGGAAGAGATAGAAATGGTTTTGAGGAGATTTTGTAGTTCATTTTGGAGAAGCTTTTGATTCGCAGTTTGGACCTGTAACCCTTGAGATTGTGCTTCGATATAAGCAACATCATCCACTAGGGTCTAAGGTTTGTTAGTACTTTAAATCCTGATGCGTAAAGGTAGGAGGAGGACTTGCATTGAGTTCATGTGAGTATAGCATCAGTAGACCATCCAGTTCATCACACTCGGCAATTGCTTTGTCAAATAGTTTTGCGAGCTGATCTACCTTGCCTTCTTGCTGTTCGAGATGTCCCAGCCAACTACTTGCTTGCACCCGTCCTATCTCGCGCCGGACATCTGCCTCGAAATCATCAACCCGTTTGTCCTCACTCAGTTTCCCATGCCATCCTATGTCACTTAATATATCATCGAAGGAAGCTCCCCTACCCTCCAAAAGGCTTGGGTCGATTGCGAGCGCCGTACAATAATTTGCCGTGTTATCCTCACGGCGCGGACGCCGACGTTCTGCTTGTGACGGTGACACTTTCGGGGAGGCAATTTCCGGTGGACTAGCTATAGGAGTCGAAATCCCTTTGGATGGCTGAGGCTGGAGTGCAGTCTCCGTAACCTGGACATTAGCCACTTCCTCAGCCTTCGAAACTTCTGCTGGAGGAACAATAGACTGCGTATCCTTCGTAGATGGTTGTGTCCAAGGAGGAACAGTAGTTTTAACGGAATCATCGGTCATGGTCCTGGATTGGAGCGCTGGAATCACGCCAGTAAATACCATCTGGTTCCTCACCACTCTTCTCTTTGCTGGCCAGCAAATCTATCTGCCGCACCCCCAGGTCTAGGTTTGAAAGCGCTATAGGCGGTAGCTGCTTTTCGCAGGGTAGACGCGAGTTCGGCAGGCTTCTTTTTCACCATTGGACCAAGTCCTGGACGATGTGTCTCTCCACGATGTGTCTCTCCTTTTTCTTCCGTTAGAGGCTTCTCAAGTGATTTAGCGAGAGAAATAGGCGTGGTGGACGATGAGAGCTTTCTAGGTATATCGGATATTTCGCGCACAATAGGACTTTCCCTGGCGTCAGGTGAGGATTTTTTAACAACTTCTTCAGGTTCGTTTACCGTGCGAGTATCAGATTTGGTATTGATACTAAAGTCTCCAGAACCTGATCTTCGCAGCATTGGAACCTGTCGTTGCGCGCTCGCAGACTCCGAGGTGCCTAGGGATTTCTCGCTCCCTCTAGAAAGTGAGCGGGCGTCAAGGTTTCGGTGATTTTCTGGAATGAAAGGAGCGATGAACCGACCCTCCGTCTTGCTCTTAATCCCTTGTTCCTCAGAGCTACCTTTGGACGTTGGAGGACGTTGCAACGTGGCAGGAGCAGAATGCTCAAAAGCACCCAACGGAGTTGGTTTACTTTTACGAGCTTCGGAATCACGTTGGGAGCCCGATTCAGAACTGGACATCTTACTATTTTCAATTGATCGAACTTTATCACTCGGAGCTGGCGTTCGTGCCGGACGAATACCATTTTCGTTGACAAACTGTGATCTAGCTTGGTTTCCCGTAGAACTCGATAAAGGATTGGGTGCTGGAGATATACCAGGTGGCCGGGCTCGCGGGGACTGGGCCGTCTGAAATGGCGTCGGGGTGTGCGAATTGAGGGTACTGCTTGAGGTTGGATTCGAAGATAGATCACCACGAAACCCTTCTTGCTGGGGCGTTTTAGATGAGGCGAATTCAGAGTGCTGGCTTTGCCCTTCATCCTGCCCCGGCGGAGCGTGCAGGAACTGTTCCCGAGATGTCTGTATCCTTGGTTCTCTTGCTCCATCACGACTGGGAAAATGATTGGTAGGATACAGTGATTGAGGCGTGTTGGATTGATTTTGCGCGGGCCTGGCCTGGGGCCCAGCACCATCTGGACGGTCTAAGGGGAGAGCACGCGATCCTGGGGAAGGACCATTTTGCGCGCCAGGAGCCACAGTACCGGTAATTGTATCTCGATCGCGAGAGTCGAAACCAAGGAGCTCTGGTACCCTACCACCAGTGTACTTTTTGTAGATCTTTACCAAACTACCAATAAAGAAGTCCCTCTCCTTTGGAGTTGCAGCCTGCCAATAGTAAGGTTTGGATACAGTCACCACAAATCCAACATTCGATGCCCACATTTTCTGTTGTTGCTCAGAATTGCTTGACGCAGGCATATGTTCGTAAATCTGGATATGGGATAAGTCGTCCAACAGCCATGTTTTGCCGATTGAAAATGTGCCGTCATTATTCTCTCTTGCCTTATGCATGCGAACCCTCCCAGACTTTCTCACCGAAACGATTATCAAACGAGGCTTTTTATTTTCAGGGGGTGAGCTCGGCGGGGCAGGTGTTGAGGGATACGCTGCATCCTCAGTAATTCGAATATGCGTAATATAGGACTCGAGAACTATTTGAAGCGCCCGGTTAGCAGCAGAAAATTACTCCAATAGAAAGTGAAAATTTTTCTCCGGAAGCGCGGTGCCTTTCAGATAGGTCCCATAGGCATTATCCGTTAAATGTTTGTTTCCGTTACAAATGATGCCAATGCGTTGCATAACACAAGTATTCGGCGAGCAATCCCGATAAGGTAACCCACCTGAACCATCCACATCCTGCTTGCCAAAGCAGCATTGGATGAGCCGGCGCTTCTCATCGTCGAACCTCTCTGCTCTCGACATCCCCGTCGGCGCGGGTTTTGTGTTGCTACCGTTGCGCACACCCGCCATTGGACGTCGTTCCCTGGTGGGTGAGACATTTGAAGGCAGCCCCCGAGGGCGATCGCGGCTGTTCATGATCACAGTTTCGCCCGAATCGGATGCTGAGAGTAGATCATCGAGACACTTGGCATAATTCAAGCATATCAGACGGATAAATAGGACGAAATTCAAAGGAACAAGTTATGCCACGTTGGGAGCTGCAGTGGTTGGTATAGGGTTTCGACAGGAACGAGGTGGTTGATAAGGGAATTGGTTATTGGCGGGAACTAGTTAGTTAGCGACTCTTATTACTTAACTACACGGATGTTATCGCACAGCGAGTTGGCCACCTCATCATTTTTGCATGTTTTTAACCAAATATGACAACAATCACATAAGAAAAATAGATTACTTATATTAAGAATTATTTATAAATCGACTTTCGCATGTATGAGCAGTATATTCAATAGTATTATATATACCACATTGAGATGTATTCTCATGAGAAATCTTTACTCTCTCTCTCTTTTCTCTTTATTAATACTTTGTATACAATTTATTCCTTCTTCAATTCTTAAAATATTTTTCTGAGCTATATATGTATAATCTTTCTCTTACTTTCTCTTTTACTTCTTATTTATAAATCTTAGTTTTTTATTTTTCTTCAGTAGAATAATAGTACTTACTATAACTAACTACCAATAACTAACGTAATCAACCACTCAACGCCCGTCTACACTCAACGCCCGCTATTTTGCCACCACTACAATGAAATCTTTTCATTAATATCTCAACAACGCAATTAGATTTTAATATGATATATTATATGATGAAAATATATATAGAAAATTACATATAAAAATATATAGCTAATTCAAAAGATGTTTGTTGGGCTTAATAACTCGCCCGGAACGCGAAATCTTGGGTGGAGGCAGATTCAATGAGCAGGCAGCGGTCAAATCCGTAGGGGTTGCAATATCATCCGGACCCCCCGGCGGCGGACCCGCGGGCAACCTGGCAGAGCTCTGAAAACGCGATTTAGCCACTCTTTGCGAAATCGAGGGTCTGATTTCCCGATTAGGAAGGTGATTTTTGGACCCCCGAACCTGGCCCCCCCCCAACCGCGATTGCTGCCGCGCAGCAGCTCGTTCTTCCTTTTCCTTTTGCTCTTGGGCCTTCTTTGCATCCCTAAGCTCCCTGTCAATCTGCCGTTGAGCGGCTCTTGCGGCCTTATCCATCTCCTTTTGCTCCTTAGCTGCCTGGCGAGCTGCCTCCCGCTCCATTCGCTGTAACATGATATCTGTCTCCTTCTGCTCCTTAAGAATAGCGTGTTGCAACTTGGCATCCTCCTTACGAACCTGTTCATCCTTTTTGGCGGCCTCTGCGGCAGTCATCTGCTCGCGGATGCTCTGCACCTTTGCCGGAGAAAAGAACTGTGCCAATGACGGATTTGAAGAATCTAGCAACCCCTTTGCCCTGCCACGCTTGCGACGTCTTCTTTCCTGATTTCTGGGTCGATATTGCGCGTCTGGTGGGGTGCAAGGGCGTAATGCAATCTTTTTAAGAACCTGTTCTGGATCAAATGGATGTAAGCCATCCGCAGCGAACGCGGATATAATATTTGAGGATGTAACTGATTCCTTCCAAGCAGCATCAAATAGCTGCCAAAAAAGACTCTTTGTGTGCGTACAAATCCCATACCGGTTTCTCATTCGCTCATTCAATGCTTAGAATATGATTTGCTCAATGGTCCAAATATCCCAACATCTA